GGACCTGAAATGTTAACTCTGTTTTTTCCTTCACAGATGCTGCCAGACCTGCTGAGCTTTTCCAGCAACTTTGTTTCTGTTCCTGGTTTATAGCATCCTCAGTTCCTTCGGTGTTTTTTTTCTGTTCAGAGATGTTATTATACACTCTGGAATGAGAGGCACTTGAATGTACACCTCCTGGTACAGAGGTAGGGACACTACCACTGCACAACAAGACCTCTTGCACAGCATTATATGACAGTAGAGGTGGATCGAGGCTCCTAATTGCGAAACAATTGAGCAGGTATGGAGGCTGATAGTTCTAACAGCAGGTAGTCCTAGTTGGCAACCATTCCTATTCAATCCCCCCTGGGTTCTGGGAAAAGGGTCAGGATAAATGGGAAGGAGGAAGGCTGGCCAAATGACCTCTTTTAGTGAGATAACAAGGTGTAGAGCTGGATGAACACAGCAGGCCAAGCAGCGTCAGAGGAGCAGGAAGGCTGACATTTTGGGCCTAGACACTTCTTCAGAAATGGGCTGACGTTTCAGGCCTATCTCTGACATCTTTTAGTGCTCCTTTCCCCTCCCTTAAACACACCCAGCAGAGGACAGTAAAATCTAGTCCAGAGTCTTGTAACAAACTATAAATGACCAATACCTTGTTTCCGTCATGAGTTTGTTTAAATGGAAAAATATACACATTTTTAGTGTGGTGCAGAAGAAGTCAGACTAAGGGATGAAGTGACCCAATTAACTGACTGCCTGCTGATTTACAATCCTGTTTACATTCAGCCTATTTCTTAGAGTGATGGAATTATTTTGAAGCTAGCAGCAATCAAAACCATCTCAATATCGGCCTGTGCCATCAAATTTAATCTGCAGCTATTTCAGAAACAATAGCACAATTAAGGCATACAATTTTACTCCAAGGTGAAATAAATTGTGCATTGTATTAACCTAAGACTTAGAAATGATGCCAAAGTGAACTAGTGCAAAGCCAATCTGGAATTCCGAAACTTCACTGCCTCTCTCCTGGTCTTTAAAATCTTCTTAAAATCTGCATCAGGATTTGTAAAAGGGTCTCCTAATGAGGCCCACGTCTCATTTTGTCTGGCAACTCTCCTGTGAAATTCTTCAGTATATTTCATTACATCAATGTGTTAGAATAGGGATTGCTTATGGGGATGATATTAGAGAAGGTAATTTTATCATGACCTGAGAGTATAGTTCACAACATAACCTCCTTTATATGTTGAGTAAATTATAATTAATTGGAAATAGAAAGAAAGGATAACAGAAGATGTGGTCCCTCATCAAAACTCAACATTCCAGTTTTTTTCAGATCTCGTCAGGCCAAATGTGAAGTTCCTATTGTCAAATTCCCAGCATTTGTACATGCTTAGGTGTCACTTTTATTCCTAAGATTGGAGCAAACAAGATGACAAAAGAAAAACTGGCAGATAAAAAAGACTGACAGTACCGAGTGACAGGGTTTTAATGATGGGGGTGGAAATCATAGATTGATAACACAACTACATCATTTGGTGCTTGTTTATAAAATATATAGAGACAGTTTGAAGGGAAAAGCTGATTGACACGATGCCAAAGCATAGGAAGCTAATTTAGGAGAAAAGTAATTTGCTAATTGCCTTTGACTGCCAGTGCGTGTCGTACAGAAGACAGCTGTCGAGCCAAAGGATAGCAAAGCAAGTTTGAGCATTCTGCATAAAACACTGGAATGGATTTGGGCACTGATTCATGTAGTCAGGAATGGTATGGAGCTGGCTGATGTGGAGGGGAGTGAATTTGTACATGACGCTACAAATCATTCATCGGTGGTGGTGAAATCCAGCAACCAGTCTGTGCCCTCGGCTGAGCTCTTGATTAGGCCAGAGATCTTATTATATTCACGATGTGAAGTCATACAGAAATTTTCCATGTACAAAGAATTTTCTTCACCTCTTAAGGAACATTGCTTTGTGGACTGATCTGCACAAGTAAGAGCGCAGCTGGGTAAGAATGAAAGTGTTTCCTTAAATAAGAACATGCAGACAGCTCCTCTTTTAGGGCTGCATTATTAGAAGTTTATTTTTGAGGAAGTTTAGATATAAAAACATTTTTCCATAGCTTTATTCCATTTATGGCTGCATCTACTTTGTCTTGAAATGAATCAAAGAAGAAGCGTAGACAGTGTTATTTTCATCTTGTAGTAATCTTTTAATTATGCATAATCTTGTCACAAACTCAGCATTAAGTGCTTGTAATACAGTTCTGTAGGGTTTGAACCAGATGTCCATGTTTAACGTTTGTAATGCGATGACACTTTCACAAGTGAAGGACGATATTTTGATAATGTTGGAATTTGAATACAAATCTCTTCAGGAAGTTTGTCCTAAACAAGCATTTTATAAAAACTTTGTGCATTCTTATATTCCAACTGTATCTCCCCAAAAAAATACATTCATAGTGTACCTTATTGCCTCTTCAACGTATCCTTAACTCAAAAGCAAACTACTTTCAAAGTGCACTCACTGACGCAGTATCGATCCCACAGACAGCAAATGACATGAGCAACCAACTAACCTGTGATAGCACTGACTCTGGGAAAAATTTTGAAGAGGATGTTACTTTCTGCTATTCAAAGTGCGTTAATAAATTTGCTTAGCCCTGCCTGAATCATCAGGAAAGTATAATAAATCCTTGATTTGGAGGGGCTCATTTGTTCAGGAAACCTAAGGCCCTGGGAAGCACAACACTTGCTGGTAAATTTAATTAGGGCTCCTAACTGTATTATGAGGAGGATGATTCAGATGTCCCACCTTATCAGAACACCCAGATGACACATTATCCATTATAATTAAAAATAGAAGCGAATAGGTTTGGGATGTTTGTCCCGATTCTAATAGCCAACACTTCCACCTGCCAGGCCCCATTAACCATAGCCAATGCACCCACCCCTTAATCTCTCCTGCCCCTCTTGGGGTCACTATTTCTTCCAAAAGGACAGAGAAACTTTTCTGACAATTTGTATATTCTTCAGTAGTGTGTTGAAATGCTAGCTGGATGCTGAAATTAGATTCCAGAGTGAGGTTTGAACCTCCTGTCTCCAAAGTAACTTTACTTGCAATGCTGAATTCCATATTGTCAGGTGTGAGGGGAAAAATAATAAAATTTGTAAAAATTTTAACAGTTAATGAGTGTATTTGAAACATTGTGGTGCATTCATCTGATGCTAAATTCTCAAATCCAGATAGGAACCATGTACACATTATGAACTGAAGTACATTATCCTCCATTCTGGTGTGGGCAAAACAAAACTGTAGCTAAGGCCCATGTTTTGAAGTATTTGGCCCTCAGCATAATAAAACTTGAGGCTTAATAGCTGTGATTTATGCAGTGTGTTTTAATGGCTGCATCAGACTAAAGTAAAAACCAGTTTTAGCAGAGGTAGAAGTCACATGGCTACATGGCTACAGCAAGTATGGCTAGGATTCTATGTACAAATGTTAACTAGTTTGGGATGCCTTTTGCAAAACTGAGTTGCTTTTAACATAGCGAGTGCTGTCTAACCAGCGACACTCAGGAAAGCCAGGCATAGTCTAACAGGTTGATATCAATGGAACATTGTAAACTGAAACCAGGAAAGGAAATGCTTTAAATATACAGACCTGAACATGGAGCCAGGAAATGCAGGAGAAAAATAAAATGAGACTATGGGGATATGTGCTTACGTTGAAAGGTTCTTACAAAGGGGACACAGTGGGCAAAATGGTCTCTAATATATATTTTAACATTGTATTTTTGATCATCATACAATCATGATTATTTACACTGGTTGGTACATCTTGCAAAATTGAAAGAAGCATAGTTATTACATTACATATTGCTACCCAGATTAGCACTTCGCCATGGTGAGGAGTTAGTTGTTTATTCATAACGACTTGATGTAAAATTTTATTTTTCATTGTTGTGCAGACTGGGTACAATATACATTTCAAGTTCTTAACACTTCCTGAATACTCAGCTGTGCAGAAGCTTACCAGTAGCCTATTAGGAGTGTTCCACCTGCTATTGGTGTTAGTCAAATGATATGCACACTAAGGTTGCATACAATTTTCACCCAAAGCTACTATTTGTAGTGAAGCTTGTTTAATCTGCGACAAATAATCAGTTGGATGCTGTAAGCCTTTGGAGGAAAGTAAATCTTAAAATGGGAATGACAAAAGTATGCAGAAACCATTCTTCTTATTAGAAGTATAAACCTTTCTAGCTGAAAAATAATCTACTGGTTTCTGTATTAATTCACTAATTACTTAGGAGATCTTGACAATAAAGAAAGAAATATCTAAGAAACTCAACAGGCTGATTGTTTACAGCCTCCTGCCAAAGTCAAGTACAGAGGCTGGTGTGGCCCAAAAAGAGGCACAGGCCATCTTGTCAGTTTTGACATTTCTCCAGCCAGCAATGCAAACAAAGATGGAAAAGCTGAGACAGCAATCCCACTCATTTCCTCAATGAGGCCAATTAAAGAATTTGAAAAGGTTATGAAGAGCTTATTGGTCGGATGGTTGCAAATTTGAAAAGGTGCACAGGTTTCAGAGAGTGACTGTTACATATCAGCTGAAAAGACAGATAAAGACTGGGAAGCCAATTACAGATGCACCCAGGCATTGGATTAGACCTTTTAGAGGATTAGTGGGGCAAAGGCAAGCTTTATTTTGTATAGTTGTTCCCTTGGTGATAGGGAGAGTGAAGAGTACTATACAGTATTATCACATCCTTATATAGGTTAGGTGCAGGAAGTAAGCTACCATGCACAATTGGTTAGCCACCAGCCCAGAAAGGAGCATCTGCCCAGTTTTTGGTTCAGTGATGATGAGGGGCAAGACTCATCACAGTAAAAGGTGGAACCCCATGTAACAGGAGGGACATGGTTGAGAAAAGATGGCAGGAAGCCAGAGACCAAACCCTCAAGATGGATCTACTGCCAAAGATTGAGCTCCCTGGAGATGCCCAAGATCCAGGAGAATATGGCTCTGCAAAGGATAACCACTGACTTGCTGCCAAAGACCTTGTACCTCACAGCACTAGTCAACATGCCCTGCTAGTGACAGTCAAAGTCTGAGAAATGGCTTTATGCAATGAACCTCTCTGCATCTTATTGGCACTTCACTAACAGCTGAATACTACTGCATCTCCCTGACATAGATACCCTCTTTTCCAGAGCCAGCCTGTATATACATTTCACAGGGAAAGAAGGCATGGAGTTTCACTGCCATTGCTGGATTACTCTAGTTTCAAGGCATCAATGTTTGTGCCAATGTAGCCCTCACAGCATTGAGCGATGAGCCAGCCAGATATATCAGCAGGAAGGGCTGTCTGAGTTCAGCTGGTCTGCAATTACAGTCAGAGTTTCCTCCATTTCTGTGCTTGTTTTCCTGACAACTGCAATGACTCCTTCAGCCTCCACCAATCCACTGTCTGGTGCCCAGGTAGGCCTTGATTTTCTTCACTGACAACACTGCACTGTTGTTAGGATGCTGCTTAGGTTTCTCCCCGCTCCTACTGGCAAATTTTTGGGCTGGCCTTTTCCTTTCCCTAGCCATGTGTTGAATTCGAGTTTAATGAGTGAACATTAACAGACTTTATTGAACAAAACTATTGGGAAATGATGATATGGGAGAATGTCTCTGGAACTCTTAGGTTCCAGCTCCATACACCCTGACAAAGTACTGTGGAGCTGGAGATCTGAAATAAAAACAGGAAGTCTGGCTGCTTCTATGGAGAGAGAAACAGAGTTAACATTTGAAGTCCAATATGACTCTTCTTTGCAACTGAGAAGCTGTCCTGGTCCAAGTTTCATCTTATTCAATGCCTTAACAGGAAATTTTTCTCTTCCTTACATGTGTTAGAGAACACAAGCTCTGACAACTTGCAAGTACTGACATTTCTCTGCATTATTCCCGTCTCCCCTCTGAATGTATCCCTTCTTCTAATCCTACCTATCATTGTGTACACTCACTCCTTATTATCCACTAATTAACTCCTCATGGATCCACATACTCAAACTCAGCCTTGGCCCCAGCCCCAAACTTTTTATTTCTCATTGACTTGTCCAGTCTGATTGAACTTCATGGTACATGGGAGAATCACATAGAAGTGGCATCCACGCTTCTGTAATTCCTGGTTTGCCAATGTCCCTATTCCCTGCAGATAAGGGGAATGAGGTCCATTCATTATCCCCTTGACCTCTGCTCTCAAATGTTGAATGATCTGCCAACAGGATTCAAGTTTGATCACTTTACACCCCCTTTTCAAATAACTTTGGGCACAGCGTAATTTTTTAAATTGCTATGGCAAAGTTATTTATTCACATGCTCAGCAATTTTTCCCCAAGATATAGTTGACTGTTTAATTCGCAGGGCGTAGTTCTGTGTTTTAAAATTGGAAATTCTCATCAAATGTTGTGCTTCACATGGTTTACTGGATCAATTCCCAAAACTGTCAAAAGCAACATAACCTTCTGAAATGCAAAGTTTCACAATGTATACCAATAGATACTATGCAATGCAGACCAAGGTGCTCTTGGAATAGAAACCTTGGCAGTTTAAACCTATTCTGCACATTTTGGAGTGGATAAAATGGCAATTTTTAGATTTTCATCATAGAGGAAAATTAAAGTTGCAATGAATCACCAAAGGTTTTCTCTCAATTCCAGCATATGCATCTGCCAAGTTTGTGCTTCACATCCCTGCCTTGAAAACAAGCAAAGTCAGGAAACTCCTGGACTGTAAATGAAAGTAAGTTTCAAGGTCTCAGCAACAAAATGAATTTGAATGTTTAAATCTATTTCTGCATGTATTTTTATTCCTTTTTCCTACTCCCACTTGACCTTTAATCATTGTCAAGAAAAATTCCTAAGAGAGTTACCACAGTATGAATGTTCTGTCAAGAGGAATAGTCAAAGCAGAAGTCATTGCATTTTAAACAGCAAGTAAGCAATTGAGGCAAAGGGCTTTGAGGTGTTTGGGCAGGGACAACAAAATCATTTTGCGTTTCAAAGAGTTTACACAAATAGGGCAGGTTAATTGCCATATATTTAAGCTATGTTTTTAGCCCTATTTGCTGTTTCAAAAAAAAACAAAAGAACAAAGTGTAGATCATGGATACTTGACAGTAACTGATTACTTGACAGTAATTTCCAATACTGATTTGACTTGATTAAATTGCATTTTGTTAAGTAAATATCTGTGTGACTGAGATATATGTCCGAAGGCCAGTATTGCTTGTCTCAGTATAATCATCAATTCACCTAATCCCCTACCCTTCATTTAAAAAAGAAAGAAGGTCACATCCTAATGAAGGGCTGGTTTAACCTGCCCAAATCATATTCAGTTTTTTTTTTTAAGAACTTTTCCTGTGGCCTTAAGTTCACAGGACATAATCATCATCGTGTTCTGAGCCCTAGAGTACAGTGATGGGGTTAAGAGTGAATTAGAAGATAATTCTTGAATCTTTCTGCATTTAAAATCAACCCCAATGATATGGAAGCTCTGATGTAAAAATAGAAAATTCTGGACATGCTCAACAGATCTGAGACAACAGCAAATAAGAGTTTAAATTTACTTTCCCAAAGCGGGTGTTTAAAAGCAAGGGTGTGGGCCTTGTAATATCCCCAACTTAACTCCCACTATCTGACCTGTATGAAGTTCTATAGGAGGCACTGGAGATATATCCAGCCCAACTTGTGCCTATTGAGGTCTAATCCTAAAATGAAATGAATTACTGCAGATGCTGGAGCTCTAAAGTAAAAACAGAAAGTGCTGGAGAAACTCAGCAGGTCTGGCAACATCTATGGAGAGAAAAAGTTTCAAATCCAGTGACCCTTTGTCAGACAATGTCCACCGTTCTTCTTTTCAGTCTGAGTGGGGATGGGAATCGTGGCTGTAAAATCCTGGGGTGATATCTTTCAGAAGATCACCAGTTGAAACTCTGGTAGATTGTACCAAAAAGTGCTCTTATTGTAACATTTGCATGGTTTAGTAAGTTTACGGATGACACCAAAATTGGTGATATAGTGGACGGTAAAGAAGGTTGTCTAAGTTTACAAAGAGAACGATCAATTGCGTCAATGGGCTGAAGAATGGCAGATGGAGCTCAATTTGGATAAATGAGGTATTGCATTTTGGTAAAACAAACAAGAGGTAGGACATGTACGATTAAAAGTAGGGCCTTGGTTAGTGTAGTAGAAAAGAGAGGCCTAGGGGTTCAGGTACATAATTCCCTGAAGTTTGCATCACATAGATAGGATGGTTAAGGCAGTGTTTAACGTGCTTGCCTTTATTGCTCACACCTTTTGAGTATAGGACGTTATGTTGAGGTTGTACAGGACATTGGTGAGGCCTCTTCTGGATTACCATGTCCAGTGCTGGTCACCCTGTTATAGGAATGCAGGTAGAGTTACAACATTTAAAAGTTAGATAAGTACATGAATAAGAAATACTTGGAGGGATAGGGGCCAAGCACAGGTAGGTGGGACTAGTTTTGTTTGAGATGGTCAGCATACACTGTTTGGACCAAAGGGTCTGTTTCCATGACTGTATGACTAACTCATTTAAAATCTAAATTGCACAAGAATCTATCAGCCTGATTTTCTGCAGTCACCCATTGCTTTGTGGTTGGACCACAGCTGAAGTTGCGCCTGGTTTTCTTCACCACATTTGGAGGGCAGACATAATTGGTCTAAAGAGAGGGAAGAGTTACAAGAATGTTGACAGGGTGTGAATATTGTAGCTATGAAGAAAGATTGGACAGACTGGGGTTGTTTTCCTTAGAACAGAGGAAGTGGTGGTGTAATTTAGTTGAGGTGTACAACATTACACGAGACTTAAAAAGAGAAGTGGAGAGGCTAATTACACAGATCTAAGGTGATTTGTAGAAAGATTAAATGGGGCATGAGGAAAAACAATTCAGTGAGAGCGTGACAGGTGTCTGGAATTTGCTGCCCGAGTTTGCAATTGAGGTGGAGACCCTCATTCATTTAAAAGATTATGGACAGAGTGCTTGGAAGTAGGATTGGAATGGGTGGCTAGTTTATTCAGATCACAAACACAATAGACCAAATGGCCTCTTCCTGTGCTGTAAATTTTTCTGTGCCTCTATGGAGTCCATGCAGGATATTTTGGTGCAACTATTAGCTCATGTGAAATTCAAAAAAAAAATTTATAGACGATGGCAAATTCATACCAATGACTTCATAGCAGCACGAGTACAAATTTTAGATGCTGTGTATTGTTCATTTTAGGAAAGCTGATCTTGCCTATGCAGAAGCAAGTATAACTGCAAAATTTTGATTGCAATTGATCAGTGTGAATCTGAAAATAGCAAAGAAACCTATTCCAGCAAACAAGGAATAAATCTCTTGAAATTTGTTAATTATTTTTGTAGAATTATGCTTCTGGCATGTTGTCACCATCAGATGGGCATACCTAATCATTGAGAAAATAACTTTAAAATACCTGTATTTATAAAGTGCCTTATGATTTCAAGGTGTTAAAAACATTTTGCATCCAAGAGATTATTTTTGAATTGTAGTTTGTTGTATTGTACGGATGATTGAATAGTATGAATTATACATATTTTCCCTGCAGTTATGATTACAACCTAAACAGGAAGTATTTATTAATTTTGTGAAAGCAATTCAAAATGTAATTAAATGTGACAGATTGCAAAAATACATTTCATTTAAAATGGTCCCATGTTGCATTTAATTCTGATGCTTTCATTTTGTTTTCATTAATGCAATAACTTGACCCATTAAGATTTACCAAACTGGTCCAGAATTAGTTTCCACTGGAGGAAATTAAGAATGAGAGAAGACAAGATCTCTAAACATAGAAACAATTGCTTTATGCTCAAAATGAAATTGAGAGAATCAAGCAGGATAGATGACGTCACTAATCTGTTTGCATTATTGTCAAACCATTGATACTACACTAAACACCTCTTTTCAATATTAGAAAAAGAAATTGAGTAATGAAATTTTCTTAGTGGGATAAAATGCACAATTGCCAAAAAATTACATTAAGCTTTAGTATTTTGCTAGATATGTATGAAAATTGGCTGAATGGATAACTATAATTATATTAAAAATGGTTTTACTTTAAGAATGTGAAGGCTGTATTATTGGCTTCTACTTTATCCCTTACCCACTTTACACAGCCCCGCAAGTCAGTCAGTGTGGTTGAGGGAAGGGTTAAAATAGTGTAATGCCACAACCTCATCCTAACTCATTACATTCCTGACCACCATGATACTTCAGGGCACTATAGGGTCTAGGCAATGCACTTATTGAATGTAGGCAGTGCTTAAGACTCAGAACAGTCTGATGGTAACCGCACCACCACCTCACCCGTAAGTGGCAGTCCTCTGCTCTTTGTTGCAAGGCAAGAAAATTACAACGGCAGGAGACAACTGGCCAGAAGAGACCCAGATTAAGTTCATGGGTCAGGAAGAGTCTAAGTGTCCCTGCAGGCCTCAAAGAAACCTTTGACCTCCCAATCCATTCCCATCAGCTGATGATGGTTAGACTTACCCCTTTGTTAATTCTGATTGCATTTTGAATTGAATTTTCTTTAGCTTATTGTCACATATACTCACATGAGTCTAGTGAAAAGTTTACAAGTCACCATTTATGATGCCATCTTAGTTGCAAAGGTATCCAGGTACAGATTCTGGAATACTAATTCTTAGGTAAAAAAATATTAGAAAAATAAAGAAATAAAAGTCCAGCAATGCAGACCTTCAAAAATACAAAATGATAGTAATAAGTTGGAAAAATAAAGAAACAAAAAAAAATTCAGAATAACAGTCCTTCCATGATAATACAAAAAAAGTTTGTAAAAGAGAATTTAAGATGACACCTTGTGACCAATCCCTGGGCAATAATCACTTCATTATAATCCAGACAGGACATCCACAAATCATTTTACCTTTGGTAAAGAGGAAAGAACCGACTCCTCTTTTTCAGTCAACCCCTCCCTTATTTCAGTTGGTCACAGCAAGGTAAGTTATCCCAAGGCATCCCTTCACTCATGGATATCTTTGCTAGTTAAAACATACTTAGGTTTTAACAAGAAGCAATTTAAATAGGTTTAAGAAAAGAAGGAGTTTTAGTTACTAAGATGTGAAGAAAATAAAATATGTACACAGACTAAAAATGAGAAGTGAGGGAACACACAACAGCTACACTTGAAAGGTATACAAGTCTTTGGTTTGTCCATGAGGTGAAACATTGCAGCTAGTAAGTTAACTCATTACGGTTATGCTGATTTTGGCAAATGACCATTGATCTGAAGATTCTTGCTTCTACAAGTTAGCTGAAGGGAGTTCTCCTGTTTCATTTTCAGTGGCAATTAGTGAGAGAGACAGTCCTTTTTCTTTTATCTGATCAATGTTCTCCTTTTGTGACCTTCGCAGCACACACTGGCCATGTCAAAATAGAACACCAGACCAGCATGCAGAGGCCTGTTTGTGATTTTTTTTTGATGAAACAGAAGTTGCTGGATAGGCTCAGTAGGTCTGGCAGAATCTGTGAAGAGAAATCAGTCAGGTCTGGTGACCCTTCCTCAGAACAGCTTTTATTTTAAAAAACCCTTTGAAATATCTCGAGGCCAATATCCTGTCACCAAATCACCCTTTATTTACACATGAAGAGTCCTTTGCTTTTGTGCTCCCTCATTCAGAATCAGGTACCAGATTGTCAGTATCTCTGACACTCACTTTGAAGGTCAGCCAGGGT